TTCCTTTCCTTTTCTTTTTTTTCTTTCCTAAGATTTGAGAGAGAGAGCGCGCGCACACACATGTGGAGGGGGTGGGAGGAGGGGCAGAGGCAGAGGGAGAATCAAGCCGACTCCTCGCCGCGCAAGGAACCCAATGCAGGGCTCAGGACTCATCCCACAATCCTGAGATCATGACCTGAGCTGAAATCAAAAGTTGAGCCGAAATCACTACAACAAAAACATGATGTACTATATGTTGGCTAACTGAACATAATGAAAAAGAAAAAAGAAAAGAGAGAGTCAGACAACTTAACTGAGCTACTCGGGTACCCTTTCAAATGGATTTTCTTTTCTTTCTTTCCTTTTTTTTTTTTTTTAAGATTTTATTTATTTGTCAGAGAGGAGAGCACAAGCAGAGGGAGAAGCAGGCTTCCCTGGATTTTCGTATGTTAAAGAAGACTTACAGGATCCTCAAGACCTGGCTATTGTCAAGCTAAAGTTGTTTTTTGCCTCTAGCAAAGCATTAAGACAGTTGGAGGGCTCCTGGGTGGTTCAGTCGGTTAAGTGTCTGCCTTCGGCTCAGGTCATGATCCCGGGGTCCTGGGATCGAGCCCCACGTCGGGCTCCCTGTTCCGCGGGGAGTCTGTTTCTCCCTTTCCTCCTGCTCTCTCTCATGCGCTCTCCCTCTCAAATAAATAATAATAATAAAAAAAGTTAGTAGTTCTTGGAGGAATGTCATACTCTGCCTGTCTCAAATATTTGTCAGTGGGCTGCAAGTTGTAAGGAAATTTAATTTTATCTACATTTCCTTTTGCCTTTGTTCTCCACATGTTAAGGATTGGTGCTCAGTTAGAGGTTCTTGTCAGTCTATACTGACCTGCTAACCCTGGACTGGAAAGCTGATGATGTCGGTAGGACTCACCAAGGGCCCTGGAGCCATGTACTCAGAAGAGCTCGCAAGGCGCCACATCTGTTACTCATTGGCCCCGAATGCCATCAGAAGTATACTTTGGATCTGACAACTGCCACCAAATCTGTTAAAAAAATAAAATTCATCCGAGAATATTTGAAGATGTAATTTGGCTGTAGTCAACAATTAATGAATCTGGCAGCATCCCATCTGGCAAGTAAAGGCGAGCTGAGCTAAACAAAAGAAAGGTTTTTAAAGGCAGAGGGAGAGCATTAAAAAAGAAAAGAATTTATTAGAAAGGAATACATGGTTTAGGCAAGGTTACCCTCTGAAGGGAAACAGAAGTATTGACCAGGAAATGCCATGTTACCCGGTTGAAATTTATATTCCTGGGAGGGGCACTGATGGTGGTTTGAAGTTGCAGTTAGGTTAGGTATTAAATCTTGGTTTACTGACCTGGGGCCTTAACCCAAGTGATGCTATTTTGGGCCTGTGGTTTCCTTTTTAACAACAGTAACCATAAACACGCCCTGGAACGTAAGAACAACCCCTCCTATCATCTAGTATCCAATCTGTATTCGTATTTCCCTGGCTTTACCAAAAGCGTCCTTTTTTTTACCATTTGTCTGAATCTGGATCTACAAGGGCTGACCTCTTGCATTTGGTTGACAAGTCTTTTCTTACCTTTTTTTTTCCAAGTGTTTTAGCGTTTTGGTTTGCGAAATTCTTTTGTGGGTAGTCTTTCCCTCTCCCTGAGTTCACTCATCCTTGGATGGTGATTTTGTATTTGCCTCCACCCCTGCCACAGGGCATCCAGTTAAGAACCGGTTTTCTTCCGAGCAGCTGAGAGCCCTATGGATGTTGGGGATGCTGCTGGCCCAGTTGGCTGGCAGTTAGCTTGGCCCAGGAACCCCTCACAAGACAATGTCTTCGGTCTTTTGCCTTCCAGAATAAGCCGTAACTCCTAGAAGTGGTCAAATGTAGTTTTATTCTGTATAACTGCATAAATGGGAAGCTCTCCCTCCATCCCTGGTGTTATGTGGTTAGGTGGCTTTGATCTCCTTTTCTAGGGCACTTGGCTTCCCTCTTATTGACAGGGACTGAAATCCCTGAGGGTTCTGCCGGCGTTCAGACTTGTAGCCCAGCTGGCTTGCCGCTTCAGCCACCCTCACTTCCTGGTGTTGCCCAGAGACATCAACCATGTTTTTGAGTACAGCTAAATCTTTTTCATAGGGTACAGCTAACAAGGCCCTTTTGTGCTCCTTTGCCTCTAAGAGGTTTGTCGTAAAAAGCCTGGGCAGAAGTTACCTACTGGTCACTGACCTGATTTCCGTTCTCGTAAAGTGTGACTCCACTTAGGAGACTCTACTAGGAGTCCTGCAGGAGAGAGGGAATCATATTTGTGGGGAAAGAATAGAGGAAATTTAGGGAAATAAAAAGAGGCGGGTCTGTGGTCCTAGCATCGGTAAGGATGCCCACTCCGAGTCATTGGCAAGCCTTCAAAGGAAACAGTTTGCATGTTTCACCTGGGCGACTGGATGCAGGGCCCCACGGTTTCAGTCTCAGGATAGATTCACACAGCCCATCTGTGGCACAGAAGCAGAGAGCCACCCAGAATCCATGGGACCGCTGTGGTCTTAGACAGGATCTTGGAGGCAGCCACTTCCAGTGGGTTCCATGTAAAAATCACCACAGTGGGGCGCCTGGGTGGCTCAGTTATTAAGCATCTGCCTTCGGCTCAGGTCATGATCCCAGAGTTTTGGGATCAAGCCCCATGTCGGGCTCCCTGCTCTGTGGGAAGCCTGCTTCTCCCTCTCCCACTTTCCCTGCTTGTGTTCCCTCTCTTCCTGTCTCTCTGTCAAATAAATAAATAAAATCGTTAAAAAAAAACACCATAGTGAAAGATCTCATGTGACTGTAGTTCTCAAACACAGACAAGACAGAGCACCCTGAGAAGAGCCAAAGGAGGAGCATCACAGGCAGAAGGAATAGCCATTGCAAAACTCTTGCATCAAGGAAGACCTTGTCGTGGAGAACTAAGAGGTCGGTGTGGCTGGGAGGTAATGGGCAAGGAAGGAGGGTGGTGGTGTGAGAGCTAGAGCCATACTAAGGTGAGGCAATTCAAGCACCTAGGGCGCAATGCTTATGGAGGTGAACTCACTCTCATGTCAGGTGTGTGCTTGGCTTGACTCACTGAGTCCAGGCCCCAGTGTAGAAGGCCAGATAACTTAAAGCCTGGCAATAAGTTATTTGAATGCACTGGGTGCCACTAAAGGATTTTATGTTTGGGAGAGGATGATATGATTTGGTTTACCTTTTAAAAGATTACTCTTGGGCACCTGGGTGGCTCAGTTGGTTGGGCTTCTACCTTCAGCTCAAGTCATGATCCCAGGGTCCTGGGATCGAACCCCACATTGGGCTCCCTGCTCAGTGGGGAGCCTGACTCTCCCTCTCCCTCTGCCCCTTCCCCTCCCCACATGCTCTCTTTCTCTCTCAAATAAATAAATAAATAAATAAATAAATAAATAAATAAATAAAATCTTTTAAAAAAAGATTACTCTCATAACTTGTTATGGGAAATCTTTAAGAGAGGCCTGAGGACCATGGTGCCATTTTTTCCTCCTCATGATGCCTAAGGAATAGAAAATTAAAAAGGACAAAACCTCTCAGTCTTTTGATGGATAGTTGCTAAATAATCCCTACAGAAGCTTGGCTGGAGACGGTAGTCATGACACTCTCCCCCTCAGTTAGTGAGTGAGTGAGTAATGTCAGCTCTGGGGCTCAATATTATTCAGATACACGAAGGGTCTCAAGGTTGCCAGCAATAGAGCAGACAGAATTACCCTACGTGTCTCTTACTACAAAAATGCTTAGAAATACTCCGTAGATAAATATAAATTTAAATGTATATCTGGTTATAGGATCGAGTAAATGAAAAAATATTTAGATATTATTGGAAAACAGGATTCTCACTATAAGAGAAAGTATATATAAATAAGGGATGGGAGGAAAAGGGGGAGAATTTGTTGGTTTGCTGGTGTTGGATTGGAATTAAGAAATGAGTATAGACTCATTTTGACAAAATCAAGAAACTCTTAGCTCTGTCCATTTAAAGGGCCTGTATTAGTCATTGTTCTCCAGAGAAACAGAATCAATAGGAGATACCTATCTCTCTTTCTCAATTTATTATAAAATACTGGCTCACATAATTATGGAGGCTGAGATGTCTCAAGATTGCCATCTGTAAGCTGGAGACTCAAAGACCTGAGGGGCGGAGAGCCAATGATGTAGATACCAGTCTGGGTCTGAAAGCCTGAGAACAGAGGCACTGAGGTCAAGAAAAGATTGATGTGCCAGGAGTCAGCAAGCAGAGAGCAAATTCCACTTTTTTGTTCTATGGAAGCTCTCAATGGATTGGATGGCACCAACAACATTGGAAAGGGCAATCCACTTAACTTAGCCACTGATTCAAATATTCACTTAATTTCTTCCAGAAACACTTTCACAGACACAGCCAGAAATAATGTTTAACCAGGTATCTGGGGATCCTGTGACCCAGTCAAGTTGACACATAAAATTAAGCATCAGGGGCCTAGACGCAGTGGCATCCCAGGAGCAGTGAACACATAGAAAGTCTGATCTTAATTTTAAAATATCATTTCCCAGTGAAAGGAATCAGGGATCCTTGGATAAATGTGTCTGAGGGCAGGGTCAGGGAAAGTTTAAGGTGAACCTAGAGTATCTTGTTAGTCCAGAAAGGAAGTGTTCAAAAACCAGTGGGAACATGTCAAAAGGACACAGAGGATGGCTTGAAGGAATGCAAGAATAATCAGAGAATCAAAATGAATAATGAGAGGAATGGTTTTTAACACACCATATTTAAAAATTAATGAATTTATTTTGATACTAACTTCAGTGATGATAATGACTGAGTCATTGAGTGGGGAAGCCTGGGGGAGGGAGAAAGAAAAGCTCTCCTTAGAGAACTAATAAACATCAAAGGAATAATAGAATTAGAACACGTACCATTTTGCAACAATCACACCAAAACTAATTCAGGCAATAATAGCTAATTTAGACACTATTGAGCAAAATATTTTTGGGACCCAGGACATTCACACAGTCTGAAAGTATCACCCCTTAGCTTATTAATGACAGATGAAGGAAAGTTATCTTTTTAATGGCTAAACCAGGTAGATATCAATCAAATAATCAAACTTAGCATTACCACAAATGTAGAAAATGGCATCATGTTCCTCCTGATAAGATGAACTGATAAGGACACAGTATTAACTATGTACAGTTCTTTACAAAAAAAAAAAAAATGTTTACTCTGAAACTAAAAGTAAAATAATCAGACAAATCCAAATTCAGAGTTATTCTGCAAAACAACTGGTCTAGACTTTTTAAATGTCAATGTCATGAAAGACAAAAGGCAGATACACTATTCCAGTTTAAAAGACACAAAAAAGACAAGACATGTAAATGACATGTATGGCCTTTAACTGGGTTAGAAAAAAGGACTGTCATAAAAGACATTATTGGAACAAATGGGAAAATTGAACCGTATATTAAAGTATTATACCATTGTTAAATTTTCTGAGTTTGGTAATTGTATCATGATTATATAGGAGTTGTAATCAGAAGTATTTAAAGTGTCATCATATCTGTGACTAACTCTCAAATGGTTTAACAAAAATTTAAAAAGTAAATGTGTGTGTCTAGTTTGTTCTTCGTGAGATTTTTCTGTGGGTTTGGAATATTTCAAAATAAATAGAGGGGGGAAATGATGCATAACTGAGGTCACAAGAAAGAAATCCTTAAGGGACAAGAACAAAAAGAGAACTTAAAACTAGATGAACTTGCACCATGGCTGCCTTCAGATGGGGTGTGTGGAAATATAGGGCACAGAATTTCACAGTTATCAGAGATAAAGATGAGTCCAAAAGTCAATGCAAGCGGGGGGCTGGGAACAAGCCTCCCTTACTAAACTGTGACCCTCAAAGTACAACACCCTCCCTCAACAGGTGAGGTAGGAAAAAAAGCTGTCCTCTGGGACAGGGGGATTACAAGGAAGCATGTCTATCTCAGCTTGGACTTAGGTGGAAAAAAAGTATCATCTGAGAAATTAGATCCACAGGTCTGCTCACACTGGTTTGGGGTTTAATTTTTTCATTTTTCATTTTTCATTTTTCATGTGATATTACAGCTAACAAGATGAGAAATAAAAAGTGGTCCTGTATGTGTATTTTAGCACAATTAAAAAATATTGATATCATGAATACCTGGAAGAGGTAAAGGCAAGACAACTCTTAAGGCTGTATAAAATCTGCATGGATAAAACTGCCGAAGATGGGCTCATGGCTCCAAATTGTAAAATATACAAGGAAACAATCCACCACGAGTGAGAGCTAGCCCAGAGAATAGCAGGGTGAGACTCCAGAACTTCAGCTAAAGCAGTTCATAGCTTACAACTATAAAAATGAAAATATACTAAATCATTTAAAAGCATAAAAAGGAATCAAAACAAAAGAAAATAATACATTGTGAAAATGACTAAGCAGATTTTTTAAAAAGGAAATAAAATTTCTAAAAATAAAAGTATATTTGTTCATTTATTCACCAAATCTCAATCAATGGGTTAAACAGCAGATCTGATATACCTTAGAAAAGAATAAGTGAACTGTAAATGGAACTGAGGAAATTACCCAAATGCAGAATAGAATGATGAAAAGTTGAGAGAAACACTAGGTTTCTAGTGTCCTCTAGACCTTCTGCTAGGTGGAAGGAGAAGGAAAGAGAGAGAACACAAAGAAAAGGTCTATCATGTATCTAACTCAATGTCTAGAAGGAGAGTTTAAAGATGGAAAACAGACAACATTCAAAGAGAAATCAGCGAGTGTTTTCCGGCACTGATGAGAGATAGGAATTCAGGAAATAGATTCCAGATTAAGTAAAAAATAGTTCATACCTAGATCTAGATCCTATAGACATCACAAAGTTAGTACAAGTATTATGAACAATACAATATATTAAAAGTTGTGGGGTGCCAACACAGCAGTGCTTAGCCTTAAATGTATATATCAGAAACAAAGGAAAGTTGGAAAATCAGCAGTCTAAGCTTCCATCTCAAGAATCTAGGCAAAGGGGTGCCTGGGTGGCTCAGTCGTTAAGCATCTGCCTTCAGCTCTGGTCATGATCCCAGAGTCCTGGGATCGAGCCCCACATCGGGCTCCCTGCTCAGTGGGGAACCTGCTTCTCCCTCTCCCGCACTCCCCCTGCTTGTGTTCCTGCTCTCACTATCTCTCTCTGTGTCAAATAAATAAATAAAATCTTAAAAAAAGAAAAAAAAAGAATCTAGGCAAAAATAAATCAAACCTAAAAAACTAGAAGAAGGAAATAAACATAGCGGATATTGATGAAATAGAAAACAAATGTACAGCAAAGAAATTTATCAAACCCAAAATCTGGTTCTTTGACAAGATGAGTAATATTGAGAAATCTCTAGCAAGACTGATTAAGAAAAAAAGAAGACAGCATGTTACTGAACCCAAATTCATCTGCCTATCACTTGAAAGCCATTACTCAAGAGACAGATTTTTTTGTTTTTGTTTTTAAGATTTTATTTACTTGACAGAGAGAGCACAGTAGGCAGAGGGAAAGGGAGAAGCAGGCTCCCTACTGAGCAGGGAGCCCAACATGGGGCTCTATCCCAGGACCTGATCATGACCTGAGCTGAAGGCAGTTGCTTAACTGACTGAGCCACCCAGGCACCCCAATGAGTTTTTGATTGGAAATAAATTTGAGCTTTATTCAGGAGGCCAGCAACCCAGGGAGAAGGCAGACTCTTGACCAAAAGCCAACTCTGAGGTTTCTGCCTGGCTCATGGGTTTTTTAAGGGGTTTAGGGTAGTTAATCAGCAAAGGGAGTGCAGTAGCCTGCAACATTTCTTGATTTCGTGCACTTGCTGATGCCAGCTACAAATGTTCTCAATGCTTCAGGGTTGTGCCAGAGGGTCCGGTTCTTATTTCACGATGTGCAGGAATACTCTGTTCTTTCTGCAGAGGAGGGCAAGGTCTACAGATGCACAAAGCCAGGTCAGTAAAATCATTTGTGTGACCTAAAAAAAAGAAAAATATGTTGTTAAATTGCTGGGCTAGTCAGAAAGCCAAGACATTTTCAGACTTGATGGCCCCTGTGGCCTGGGAAAATTTGGTCTTTCACTCCTCAAGGCCAGTGGTCTGTGGACGTCAAAGAGAGTAAATTAGTTCTGTTACCTATCAAAGGCCTTAGGTCAGCAAGTAAGGTGTGTGTTAACTTAAAGCAAGTCAACCTTTAAGACTGGTTGGAGTGCTGTTAAAAGAGCATCACTACAGATCATACAGTTATGCTACAGATGTTAGGAATAACTTTACACTTTTAAAATGCAGCTTACCAAACTTACAGAACAAGAAGTAGAAAAGCTGAATAGTTTGATATCTATGGAAGAGATTGAATCCATTGTTAAAAACCTCACAAAGAAAACCTCAGGCCAAACTAGCTTCACTGGCAAAATTTTCCAACCATTTAAAGAAGAAATATCAGTTTTACACAAACTCTTACTGAGGAATAGAAAAATAGGAAACACTTGCCAACTCATTTATGAGGTCAACACATTCTAATCACAAAAGTCTGACAAGTATATTACAAAAAAGAAAAGTAATGCATCAAAACTAAGGGCAGTTTATTCCAAGTATACAAGGGGAGTTTAATAGTTGAAAATCAATCAGTTCACCACATGAAAGAGAGAAACAAGAAGAAAAAAAACCCATATAATTATCTTGACAAATTAGGAAATGCACTTGATAAAATTTACCTATTCATGAATAAGCAGGGGGGACTCTTTAGCAAGCTAAGAATAGAGGATAATTTTTTAAAATCTGATAACTGTCAACTATAAACCTACCAAGAATATCATATGTAGTAGGGAAATATTGAAAGCTTTCCTGGGGATATTATGCTTATTCAACATAGTTCTTGCCAGTTTAGTAGGGCAAGGAAAAGAAAAAGTGTAAGGACTGGAAAAAACGAAATAGAGCTGTCTGGGAAAATAATCTAATAAGTTGAATACCACTTATTCAACTTGGCACTATTGACACTTTGGAATGGATAAGTATTTGTTGTGGAGGTAAATTAGTCAGCTTGGGCTGCTATTAAAAAAAGAGTGCAAAATTATTTCTAGTTAAGAACCACTGTTTTACACTGAAAACTATAAAATAGAGAAAAAAATGTAAAGCCCTTAAGTAAATGAAAAAATGTTCACGTTCTTTGATTAGAAGATTTAATAGTGTAAAAATGTCCATTCTTTTAAATTTGGTGAAAATCCAATCAAAATCTCAACAGGGGGTGTGTGTGTGTGTATGTGTGCACACACATGTGCATGCATGTGAAAATTAAAAAGCAAAATCCAAACTTGATACAGAAATGCAAAGGTTCAAGAGTAGCCAAGGCAATCTTGAAGATGAATAAACTTGGAGAATACACGTTTCTATGTGCATGTTATAACTCAGTTTTTTATTTTTATTTTTTTAAAGATTTTATTTATTTATTTGACAGAGAGAGACAGGGAATGGGAGAGGGAGAAGCAGGCTTCCCGACGGGCAGGGAGCCCGATGAGGGGCTCGATCCCAGGACCCTGGGATCATGACCTGAGCTGAAGGTAGACAACGACTGAGCCACCCAAGCACCCCCATAACTCAATTTTTTAAAAGTACATAACACCAAAAGAATAGATATTGAATGAATAACTTTTTTTTTTTTTTTACGATTTTATTTTTAAGTAATCTCTACACCCAGTGTGGGGCTTGAACTCACAACACTGAGATCAAGAGTGGCAAGCCACTGACTGAGCCAGCCTGGTGCCCTGAATGAATAACTTTTAAACCATTAGAAAATAGAAAGGGTAATAGGGAAAACCCAGTAGAAGATAGGAAAAAATAAATACAGAATCACAGAAAGTCTTGATTAATAGAAAGTACAGGGACGCCTGGGTGGCTCAGTCGGTTAAGCATCTGCCTTCGGTTATGCATCTGCCTTCGGCTCAGGTCAGGATCCCAGGGTCCTGGGATCGAGTTCCACACTGGGCTCCCTGCTCCGCGGGAAGCCTGCTTCTCCCTCTGCATGCCGCTCCCCTGCTTGTGTACTCACTCACTCTCTCTCTGACAAATAAATAAATAAAATCTTTAAAAAAAAAAAGTACAAAATTAGATGGTAAAAAAAAGATGTCAGTAATCATAATAAGTGTAAATGAATTGAACCTGCCAGATAAAAGATACTGTCCAATTTTTTAAAATAATAAAAGCTACTTCTGAACTGTTTGCAAGAGATAGACTTAAAAAAATGATACACAAAAATTTTATATTAAAAAATAGAGAAGTTGGTGTATCTATTTTAATACCAAACAAAACAGACTTTAGGGCAAAAACATATTAGGGTTAAAGATAGTCATAGTTAAATACTAAGAACAATTTACCAGGAAGATATATCTTTTCTACATTTATATGCACCCAATAATATAGTTTCAGAGCATGTAAAGATGAAATTAAAAAGAGAAATTGCCAAATCACAGTTACGGTGGTAGATTTTAACACATGTATTCTAATACAGTGAGATCAACTCATATAACAAGTAGACCAAAAATTAAGAGGCTATGGAAGATTTGAAGCGCACAACATGCTTGATCTAATGGAAATATCTCCAACTCTGTTTACAATGATTAGAAACTATTCATTTTGGGGGCGCCTGGGTGGCTCAGCCAGTTAAGTGGCTGCCTTCAGCTCAGGTCACAATCCCAGGGTCCTCTGATGGAGCCCCACATCAGACTCCCCGCTCAGTGGGGAGTCTGCTTCCTCTCCCTCTCCTCCTTGCTCATACTCTCTCTCTCAAATAAATAAGTAAAATTTTAAAAAAGAAACTATTCATTTTTTTAAAGTTTTATTTATTTAAGTAATCTCTACACCCAGAGTGGGGCTTGAACTCATGACCCTGAGATCAAGAGTCATGCACTCCTCTAACAGAGCCAGCCAGGCACTCCGAGACTATTCATTTTTTAAGTATATATAGAATATTTACAAAAGCTGGCCATCTACTAGGACACAAAACAAATCACAAAAAAGACCAAAAGATCAGAATCATATTTATATTCTCTGATCATGATACAATTAAGCTAGATACCTACAGAAATGGGTTAATTTTTTTTAAAGATTTTATTTATTTATTAGAGAGAACACAAGCAGGGGGACTAGGAGAGGGAGAAGCAGGTTTCCCGTTGAGCAGGGAGCCCGATGTGGGGCTCGATCCCAGGACTCTGGGATCATGAACTGAGCCAAAGGCAGATGCTTAACCAACTGAGCCACCCAGGCGCCCCTAATTTTTTTTTAATGGGAATATTTTTATTTTATGTACAATGGGTTGGCATTAAGGTAGGTGTCTTGGATATCTGCAGTTAAGGTATATATCTTGGATGACCCACTCAAGGAATTCACTTAATCCAACGTAATGAAGCCTCTATCTTTTTCGTACTGATGGAAACACTGGCGGCTCATATTGAGGCCATATTTCTGGATCAGACCGTGCTGGTTTGAGCAGACACGGCAAAAACAAGAACCCTGGCCAAATTTCCTCGGATGGCTCTGGTAGAGCTGCTGGTGACCCATCTTGCTCTGTCGATTGCAATGAGGCAAAAGAAATGGGTTAATTTAAACAAGACATACATTTGGACATTATGAAATATTCCTAAATAACTCATGTCTCAGAGAATAAATTATATTAGAAAGGAGAAAATGGGTAGCCACATCGGCCTCCCTCACTCACCCTGAACCTGCCAGAAATGCTCCCCCATCAGAAATGCTCCCCCATTTGTCCCCGCTATTTTCTCTATATATTAAGATTCATGTAATGGGGCTAAAGAGATACTTAGGAGACAATTTATATTTGTACATGCTAGTATTGAAAAACGAAGAGAAAAATACTGAAAATCAATGAGCCATTAAAAATCTTAGCAAACCTACTAGCAAAATATCTTTAAAAAAATTTTCCTGCATTACCAGCTTTGCTTTATCCTCATTTTTCAAGGGTGATTTAATATCAGAAAATCTAACATCACTGACCACCAAGCCACCAAATATAGTCATGTACGTTGTCACAGAGCTGCCAGAGGTCAAAGTGTCCATTAAGACTAGGAGCCAAACCAGAAGTTAACAGGCAGACCTTTATTTACTTAGTACAAGCAAGAGGCTAAACAGGAAAGAATGCTGGCTTCCCAAAGTTCTGTTTTCCCTCCATGAAACAGCATTGAGCAAAGGTTAGCTGAGTTGGTGGAGTGGGGAAGGCAATTGTCTTGCTCACTGTCTTGTCCAGGGAGCCCCGAACAAAAAGCTCTTGTGTTTAATGGAGCTGGACACCAGGGGGAGGGTAGTGGGGAGGGCTAGAGGCAGAGGCATCTGGGCAGTGTCTCAGGTGCTCCCCTTGCCCCCTTAATCTCCCGGTGGAGACTCCTAGGCTGGGAATGTAGGTATTGCAGGTGTATGTGAGAGCGTGCCTGGGCTGGGGCTAGGGAGCTGAGTGCTTGACTCTTAACTGCCTCCAGATGGCAATGCATAGGCTGGGCAGCCAGTCTCTTAGGAAGGCAGCTTCCCCACTCCCACCCCCACCCCCTGAGGGCTGCCAGGCAAAGGAAGCCTTCACAGTTGCCTGCAGTCAGGCCTGAACCATCACACATAGGGTTTGGCCTAGAGCCAGACTCTTCATAGGGTGTGACCTATATGTGGGCATCTTGCTGATGGCTTGAAGGGGGCTGAAATTCAGTTCAAGCTTTGCTGCCAGGCTGTGGGCCCTGGGATGGAGCTGTGCTGCCTGGAGGAAGGAGCATCTTTTGACAGCCCTACCCACATTAACAAAGTATATCTCACAAAGACTTCAATAGATACATGTGATAAATTCCACACTCATTTATAATTTAATAAAATGAATAAACTAGGGACTAGAAGGAAATTTCCTTAACCTAGTCAAGTGTGTGTCTGTGTCCAAATGTCCTCTTCTAAGGGCACCAGCATATTGGATTAGGGCCCACCCTACTGATTTTAACTGAATCACAGTCACATGCTGAGGTTTCGAGGGTTAGGACTTCAACTTGGAATTTGGAGGGACACAACAGAGATAGGAGGTGGGTGTCAGAAGAGGCCAGTTTCCAGAGGTATGTGGGAATCAAACACCCCCGCCCCCGGCAGATTACCAAGGGCTTGGGGTCAGGTGGGAGGAAAGGGAGGCATAAAGGTTGACAGGCCTTGAACAAGAAGGTGCTCCACTTACTGAGATGGTGAAACCAGGGGAGGAATAAACTTGAAGCTTGATCCCAGGCAGAGCCCTGAGGCATTCTAACTTCTGGAGCCGAGGAGAAGTGGAGCCCAGTAGAATACCGGAAGAGTGGCTAGTGGAAGGAGGAAGCCGGAAACCTGTGGTATCTTGGAAACCGAAAGAGAAGAACCAGCAAGTTCTATTGATTTACCCTTTCATGTCTCTCTTATTTGAGACAGAGAGAGAGGAGAGAAGCCGACTGCCGGCTGAGCAGGGATCCCCATGCAGGGCTCCATGCGGGGCTCCATGTGGGACTCCATTCCAGGACCCTGGGATCATGACCTGAGCCAAAGGCAGACGCTTAACGACTGAGCCCCTGAGGTGCCCCTACCCTTTTCACATCTCTTTTTTTTTTTTAATTTTATTTATTTATTTGAGAGAGAGAGAATGAGAGACAGAGAGCAGGAGAGGGAGGAGGGTCAGAGGGAGAAGCAGACCCCCCCGCTGAGCAGGGAGCCCAGTGCGGGACTCGATCCCGGGACTCCAGGATCATGACCTGAGCTGAAGGCAGTCGCTTAACCAACTGAGCCACCCAGGTGCCCCTACCCTTTTCACATCTCTTAAAGCTCCTTGTTTCTACTCTCAACTTGACCTCCACCCTGATTCCACCAGCAGAGGGAGTCCTCTATTCCAGGTGTGGGCCCAAGAGGATGCATTTTCTACAGATATTATCAAAACAATAAAACCCAGTCTGCTTTTTCTTATCACCATGTGCTGGCAATTCTAGTGGGTAATAAATACTTTCCTGAAAAAATAATTTATTGGTCTAAGTTCGAAATAAAGACTGTGCTTATGTAAGCTTCAGATGGAACATATTTAGTACTATCTTCAGTAAACCCTATACTTGGAAGATAATTCAGGGAATTCACAGTGATACAGTGGGCTGCCACACATTTGTTTTGAAAGTAAGTTCTTGGGGTGTCTGGGTGGCTCAGTCAGCTGAGCGCCTGACTCTTCATTTCCACTCAGGTCATGATCTAAGGGTCATGAGATGGACCTTTACTCCGAGTGGGGAGTCTCCTTGGGATTCTCTCTCTCCCTCTCCCTCAGCCCCTGCTTCCTGCACACCCCTCCACCCCGACCCCATGGGCACATGCGCACAAGCACTCTCTCTAGAATAAATAATTAAATCTTTTTTTTAAAAAAAAAAGAAAGTTCGTTCTTAATAGTTTGGAATCTTTAAAGCTTATTTTAGGTGCAGTTCATGTCTTCAATCATTACGATAATATATATTCCTGTGTTTAAACAGTAGATTCAAAGTGGACCAGGATAGCATAGCAATTGTAAATACAAAAGAAATAGCATGAGTTACAGTAGTTACGTCATTTTAATTATGACCACTTGGAGTTTTACTTGTGTTTAAAATTTAAAACACTGAAAGAATACAAAATGTTTGGTATATTTTTGTTCGGTAAGTGCAAATTTTAGTTCATGCATGATATATTTTACCGAATTTGAATATCCTTAAATTGGAATTTATCCTTTTTTAATATGAATTGTTGCTAAGCTAACGAACAAATCAAAACAATAATTATTATTGATAACTATGTGATTGTTACAAAAATAGTTTTGTTGCCTAGATGAGGAAAATATTTAAAAATGATCCACTCCCCGGGTATCCAATATGCTGGTTATGAAACCAAAATGCTTAATATTTCATCTTTGAATATATATATATACGGACAAAGTTTACTACCTCCCGGGGTGCTTTCTATCCTTGGAGTTTGAGAACTGGGTAAGGAAAAAAATAATCCGTTTTTTCTGGCCAGTGCAGAGGGACAGTGAGGAACATGTCAGATGAAATATGGCAGTCTTCATAGTAAATCAGCTGATGGCTCCATCTGTCTTTTCACAGAAATGGCTCACATGTGGAGTTTTATTTTACTGAGTTTCTTTGAATATTTTCTTTTCTCAAAGTTGTAAAAAGGAGTGACTTCCTAATTAGTCTTCCTTGAGCCCATAAAGGGGTATTAGGGATTGAATGCAGAGTTGGGCTCCGGGCCTCCCAGCCCAAGTTGAGCCCAAACAGGTCACATCTACATATGAGAGTCCAGATGTTAAAATTCATGTGTTGAAGGCCTAACCGTCAGGACCTCAGAATGTGACTGTATTTGGATACAGGGCCCTTAAAGTGGTGATTAAACGAAAATGAGGCTCTTGAGGAGAGGCCTTAATCCAAAGTGGCTGCTCTCCTTCTAAGATGAGTTGTGGACATACAGAGAGACACCAGGGGCCCACGTGCACAGAGGACAACCACGTGAAGAAGCCAGAGGCCAGCCACCTGCAAGCCAAAGAGAGAGGTCTCAGAGGAAACCAGCCCTGCTAGCACCTTGATCTTGGACTTCCAGCTCCTGAAATTTTGTGGGGGAAAACACCGAAAGTGTGTTAAAGCCACACAGTCTGAAGTATTTTGTGCTAGCAGCCCTAGCAAACTCACACAACAGGTAGCATTTGTTTGAACTGAGGGTTCCACAGCTAGAAAGTGTTGGGAAATTACTAGAATAGGGGACAGAGCACAGACTCTGAGACCATTACTCTGGGCTTGAATCCCGGTTTGGCTTTCTAGTAGCAGAGCAATGGGGTGGGCCATTTACTGAATGCTGGAGGCCCAATTCTATGTCTGTAAAGTGGGGGTGATAACCACTACTCGGGATTTCAATGGGGATGGCATGCGGTAATGTATGGGAAGTGCCAGGCCCACCGTGGGAACCCAGTAAATGAGGATGCTGAGCCAAAGCCTTCCCCACTGCCTTAGCTCATGTAAGTTAGATCCTGCCCAAGCTGGCCACATTGGAGAGGGCTGGAAGTCTGTGGATTTTGCAATTAAGGGAGGGTCGTTTTAAAAATGTGTGCCCAGGGGGCGCCTGGGTGGCTCAGTCGGTTAAGCCTCTGCCTTCAGCTCAGGTCATGAGCCCAGGGTCCTGGGATCCAGCCCCGCAGTGGGCTCCCTGCTCAGCGGGGAGCCTGCTTCTCCCTCTCACTCTGCCTGTTGCTCCCCCTGCTTGTGCTCTCTCTCTCTCAAATAAATAAATAAAATCTTAAAAAAAAAAGTTTGCTCAGTTACGTTTTAAAAATTTTGCTAAATTTGCATGTAGTATTACTTTGAATGGTTGGGAAGATAGAAAAATAAGTGTCTATTCCCTGCTTATAAAAATAGCATATGTTTATACATACATTATGGAAATGCACATATTCTATAGATATATTTTAGAAAATTTGCGTGAAAGGTGCAGGAGTCTAGAGAAGAAAACAACCCATAATAAAACCACCCAGGGACAACCACTGCCCACATTGTAGTATGTTTTCTTTCCATATTTTTTTTTCTGTTGTCTTTTTTTAAATCGAGGACATCAATTTTGTGCCATGTTCTTTCACTGAACTTTTAAGCATGGGCACGTCCTATGCCATTACAAAGCCCAAAGCCTTAACATTCATTCTTTCCTCCTGTCCTGTAAGTCCCACCGGCAGCAATAGGGTCTCCTGTGAGTGGCACTTGAACTGGGGAAAACTGGTCTGGGTTTGGGTGGCTGTGCAAACCTCAGCAGTCGGTCCTGGTAAGGAGTCCCCGGCAGGAGCTTGGAGGCTGAGATGAGGACGGGCCTGCTCCCCGAAGCCCACCAGTGAGACTACGCCCCCAACCCTTATTTCCCATCTGGGTTCCTGTTACTCTGGCCCTTTAAGAAGGGAGCTAGAACTCTAGCAGGCCTGACAAGTGGTCTCCTAGGAACCGAAGGACAACAAACAGCTTCAGAGATTGGGGCTGGGGTGGGGACCCTGCACAACAGGGGATGGTACACATGGAGGCCAATCAGGTAGAGCAGGGTCTAGGGTTGGTTTTCTGGGTCCTTTATTCCTCTGGCCCCTTCACCTCCACACTTTCCTTTCTAGGTCCAACCTTTCTCTCCAGCTTCCCCACCCCTGCCTTTCTCTGCCCTTCTGTTAGCATTCCCACTTCCTCTGCTCCAGATGGTCTTCATTTCTGGAGACAGTTCCTGCTTATTAAGAGTTTCTTAGTTGATCTTGAAATTTTCTGTGAGAAAAAAATATTCTACAAACAGTGATACTTTGATCTCATCAAATTTCCAACCTTTCCAGTTTTCTTTCTTTCTTTCTTTTGCCAAATTGCTTTTGCTAGGACCTCTAAAAAAATGATAAAAAAGGCATTGGTGAAGGGCACCTGGCTGGCTCAGTCTCTAGAGCATGGGACTCTTGATCTCAGGGTTGTGAGTTCGAGCCCCATGTTGGGTGTAGAGATTACTTAAATAATAGATAAAATCTTATTTATTTATTTATTTATTTATTTATTTATTTATTTATTTATTTTTAAAGATTTTATTTATTTATTTGACAGAGAGAGACACAGCGAGAGAGGGAACACAAGCAGGGGGAGTGGGAGAGGGAGAAGCAGGCTCCCCGCAGAGCAGGGAGCCCGATGTGGGACTCGATCCCAGGACCCTGGGATCATGACCTGAGCTGAAGGCAGTCGCTTAACCAACTGAGCCACCCAGGCGCCCCAATAGTAGATAAAATCTTAACAATAACAACAAAAGACATTGGTGAATATCCCTGACTTGCTCTGAAATTAATGTGGTATCCCTAGTGTTTCCCCATTAAGTTCCATGTGGTGTTTTGACTATTTCATTGAGATCCTTAAATGAATTTGCATGGAGTTGTCCTAGGTGTGAGTTTGGTAAAGAATATAGAATGATATTTTGCTCTTTGAATCAATTTTAATGTTCATAATATAATGGAATCTAGCCCATTTATGGTTTTGCCACAAAGGCTTTATTTAATATTACTTCCATCACCTCTTTTTTGTCCATTTTTTTTAAGCTCCCCCCCCTGTATTATATTTTTGACCATATTTTGCTATAAGGTCAGTTTTCTTTATTAACTAACGTCCTCAGTCTCTGCCAGTTACTTGGAAAAAATATTACTTATTGACTGCCACAGTTATACGCCCTTCCCCCTTCCTCCACACTGTAGAATGCATTTTGGGGCTCCTGTCTTAATCTCTTGTGATAAAAAATTTTTTTTTAGACTTTGTAGCTCTTCTTTCAAGAATTATAATATTTATATGCCATTTTCTTGCTGTGATTATTTCACT